GGACTCTTTTTCTTCCAGTGTAAGTAGGCGAGGGGTGCCGTTATGGCTTGGGTCTGCAGAAGGGGAAAACCATTAAAGCCCCAGTAATGGACACTAGTATCCTAGTCCAGATCTCCACCCCCACCTCCTAACACATGGTATTTACTTTTTAAAAAGCACTAATTCGTTTAAGCTGATGACATCTCACCCAGTTTGTTTCTCTGTTATGAGTCAAGAGCAATTGTGGGGAAAGGACTCACAAATTAACTGGGCTACAAATTCTCACAGCTGTTGCTCTCACAACTGTAGTTGTCTCACGACTAACATTATTAATGGAACTTGCATTGTTCTTTTTTGGGAACCTAACTAGTTTTGCATACAGGTCCACAAACGTACCACAGAGTGGCGTGCTACTTCCACCTATGTGCCATGTTTAATGGAAAGACTGTTTCTGTTAAAGAAATACTTTATGTTATGTTATCTTAGAAATATTTCCCCTCTTCAGTGGGCACACACAGACCACAAATGATGGTACTCAAACATCTTCCCTCCAGTATATGGTTGGATGAAGATTCAGCTGGGTGCATATTCTCCTCTCCCACATCAGAATCCCTGGCATTTCTTTATCTCCAATTATATATGCAAGGGTATGTGTGAATTTACCATTTCTAGAAATTACATAGCCCTGTGATGTATTACTAGGATCTCAGAAGATTCAGAAAGCAGGCCCAGAGGACACAAATTTGTGTAAAGCCTGAAACATTAAATCTGTTTACGCCTTACAAGATGAAAAAGGTGGTGTATAAATGAAATAATAAATAAATGATTACTATGAATTTGAGCGGAGCAATTACCTTTTCCTCTAGATAAAATGTTCAGTTTCTTGCACCCTGGCCAGATTATCCCCAGACCAAGGTTTTTCCTAAGCAAAATTGTCCTACAGAGGAAGATTTGGTATGAATTGCAGTGTATGGGAAGTGAAGAGTTAACCCTTCTCTAGCCCAGCTGGAATCCCCCTTGAAAATTTCTCCCTGTGTGAGTTAAGAGGAGGGGAAAATCCCTTCAAACTGGCACTGATGGATATTCAGTGCTCTGCAAAACAAATCCAGGGCTCTGGAAAACAGATTTGGGAATGAGCCCCATGGACTGAGTTCTAGAAACTCCATTACTACGCCAATGCAAAATTGCTGGAAATGACCCCATCACATATATACATGTGAAATGTAATCTGGGTAAAACATTTTGGAGGGGAGTTGGGGGAAGAAGAAACCTGCAGAGTACATATGAAAATCCATCCTAAATCATAAGGGATTGAAGCCACCCGCCCAGTTCCATAATCCATTTAAACTAGGTTATCTGCATTTTAAATATTCTTTGTCCTGTTTAAATCAATGAGGTCTCACAGTCAACCATTCTGGGAGTTGTAGGCTTTTTCTCTATCTAATCATGCATGGGATTGCAAGACAACACAACTTTCAGTCCCTGTGCTTTAACACAGCAGGTCGTTGGAGTTAAGCCCCAAATTGTCTGGAGTAAAAATCAAGGATTCTAAACACACGTTACAGTGACTCAACTAGCATCTCATGTTTCTGTTAAAGTTTGCCTTCTGGCAATGCAATCGCATGTGTAATTTGAATCTAGTGGTTTTACTTAGATAAAAGAAAATTATGAGACTGACATAATTCAAAGAATGGAAACATCAACTGTTTGTTTATTTATGTAAATACACATTATTGACTTTTTAGCCCCAACAGGGGATTCCCCCAAAACCTTACCTGAAAAGCATATGTAAAATGGTAACAATAGTGAACAGTAGTTTATTAGAAAGCACAGCATCATACTAAAACCACCACCTCAGTGGGTCAGAGAACATTAAAACCATGCCTAAAAAGGATAGTTTGTTGCCAGAGTAGACCTAGTGTTGCCACTGTGAGTCTGTGGGCATATTGGTGCCAAGCAATCTCCCCTTCTGATTGTTCAGATTTTTAAATTATTTTGGGTTTAAACTTGGGGGGGGAGGGTTTGGCATGCTGCCATACCAAGTGCTACCCTCAAACACCAACTTTATTTGGGTTCCAAAAAGTGGTTTAGGGGCAAGCTAGCTGAGGTGCCTGTTCGTATCAGGGCCAACCAGTTGCTCACAGGAAACCCACAAGAAGGATGAGTGTCACAGCACCTTGCTGCCCATCATCCCCAGCAATTGCTAGAAACAGGGATGCTGCTTCTGATACTAGAAGCTGCACAGAGTCATCTGGGCTAGCAGCCATTGACAATCTTCTCGTCCATGGGTTTGTCCAGTCCCCTTTAAACTCCTTCAAATTGGTGGCCAATCCTGCTTGCTGTGGCAATGAATTCCATAGTTTAATGATGCACTAAATGAATAAGTAACTCCTTTTATCTGACCTGACTCTCCCTCCAGTCAACTTCATGGGATGAAGCTAATAAGTATTTTAGTATTATGAAAGAAAAATGTTACCCTATACACTTCCTCCAGAACGTGCATAATCTAATGTATCTGTATCCTGTCTGTCCTTACTTGCCCTTTTTCTAAATTAAGTAATCCCAGATGTTGGAACCTCTCCACAGGACAGTTGCTCCAGCATCTTGATCATTTTAGTTGCTCTCTTTTGCACTTTTTCAAACTGTACAATGCCCTTTGTTAGATGTGGCAATCCAGAACTGTATATCGTATTCTAAGTGTGCTTCTACAATACATTTTTATCAAAGATTTCCTAATTATTTCTAACATGGAGTTTGCTTTTTCCACAGCCATTGCACATTGGGCCAAGATTTTCTTGGGGTTGTCCAACACAACCCAAGATCTTTTTCTTGGTCATTCACCTCTTGCCCAGGTCTTATAAGCTTATATTGGAAGCTGGATTCCTTTGCTCAATGTGCATTGCTTTATACTTGCTTATATTGAACCACATGTGGCATTTTGATGCCCATTCTCCCAGTTCAAAGAGAACTCACAATTTCTTTTTGTTTAACCACCATATAAGATGGGTGGCAAATGTAACCACTTCATTGCCTATTCTTGATTCCAGATCATTTCTGAGTAAGCTGAAAAGCACTGGTCCAAATAAAGATCCCCAAGGAATTCCACTGTTTATATCCTTTCATTAAGAGAATTTGCCTTTTTTTCCTTTTTACTTTCTGCTTTCTGTACTTAAACTGGTTAATGATCCATAAGAAAACTTCTTTCCTTTCTTCATGACTGCTAAGTTTGCCCTGAAGTGAGGGCTGTGTCGAAACCCCTATTCTTGTTTCGGAGCTCAGAACCTACCTCTGTCTCACTTGAAAATTGCTTTTCTTTTAGGCTCACTAGCTTGTTTTTTCAAACAAGTAGATCCTAGATCAAATCAAGCCAGAGCATTCCCTATAAGCAAAAGTGACAAAACTGAGGCTGTCATACTTTCAACACATCATGAGAAGGCAAGGCTCACTGGAGAAGCCAATCATGCTAGGGAAAGTCAAAGGCAGAAGAAGAAAAGGAAGGCCAAATATGAGATGGGTTGAACCCATAAAGGAAGCCACAGCCTTGAACTTAGAACAACTGAATGGTTCTGTCATGGACAGAACATTTTAGAGAGCTTTCATTCATGGGGTTGCCATAAGTCAGTGATGACTTGACAGCACATAACAACCACAATTTGTCTTCTAGGAAAGAATGTTTGTGTCCCCTATGGGAATCATTTCATGAAAGGGCAGGCCTGTGGCAGCCATTTTGTGAGACTGTCCTGAACATGTCCTCAAAATTTCAAAAGTGGCTACTGATCCCCAATCATCTGGGAATTCTTCATGTAGGCACTACTGAGTTAGATGGATCACATAATGGCCTCACTTCATAAAAGGCAGCTTGCTCTGTACCACTATGGAGAAAACGTGGACCAACATTCCTGCCAGCTGCCCTTCATACAGTGGTGTAGTGCAGACCAAAACCTTCCCTGAATATCGTAGAAACATAGAAACAGAGTGAGTCAGAAGGGGTCTCCCAGGCCATCTAGTCTGACCCCTGGTTCCAACCAGTTCCGGTCACAACATGCCTACCATGTGCATGTCCAGCCTATCCTTAAACACCCTCACCGATGGGGCCTCAACCAACTCCCATGGAAGCCCATTCCATACCCTTGGGGTCCTAACTGTCAGGAAGTACTTCCTGGCATCCAAATTGAACCTTAATGTGTTCTAATAAATATTTGTTATATGGAATAGTAAACATGACCTGCATTTCACAAGCATAGGTGCACATTTCTCACTACTGGTTGAAGAAATTAGTTTTGGTCCAAGAAACTTGACTGTGTAAAACAGAGCACCAAGAACTGCTCCCTGACCCAACACTTTAAAATGTTTTGTTTATTCTAGAATTGATTTCTGTCTAATGCCTGCAATTCTGCATCCTGCTGGCTATATATTACCACCATCGATGGCTATATATACCACCAGTGTCCTGCACCTGTTATTCAGGAGAAGAATGGGGTATTGTCTCTGATCTCTTGCTTGAATTATGAGGAACTTGGAAGTAGCAAGAAGTCTCACCACATCTGTGTTCCCAAAGTCCAGCCCAATTAACCCAGTGACTCTTAGTGGAGGACCTCTATTAGGGGATGGGCCAGAGCAATTGCCCAGTTTTGCTCCTAGAAAGGGGTGTACCAGTGTGTAAAGTTCTAGAGTAGGAAGTACATTTTTTGCTCTCTTGGGAATTAAAATAGACAGAGTTCAAAGTTTCTTTTCAAAGACTAAAGAGAGTGGGACCAAATGTCAGAAGTTGAATTCTCACAGAAGTGGCAGGCCCAAATGTAGGAAAATGAATGATTTTTTTCTGCTAAAGGTAACATGAAATGGTAGCACAAATTAATAATAGCTTTGGATATTCAAGTCGAATAGCTTTTCTTAAAAAAAAATATACGCTTTGGTTTCAGGAAGAGCCTCAAAGAGGCCTTCCTCACAGAGGTTTGTATATATTCTTGGTTCTTCAGATTTGAAGAAGTGGTTTTACAGTACAAAGGGTCGACAGTTGTTGACGGATCCCCCGAGAGAGCCACCTGCAGATGTCGACCCTGAGCCCTGGAAACAGAAGGGTTCACTCAGCCCAGGAGGTCTTGCACAACCGACAATGATGAGCATGCACCAGCAAAGTACCTCAGCTGGTAGAAGCAGGCTACAGCTGCTTGGTAAGCATAACCACCAGTTCAGCGGTGCCTGAATTAACGCTGCAGTTGCCTGGTCTCTTCCTGTCCCGGCTGCAAAAAATCTCTCTGCACCTTTCTTCTCCCAATGGCATCTGCTTTTCCCTTCTTCATATTTCTCTTCCCTCTCTTTCCATTGCTTCCCCCATATTTTCTTCTGTCACTTTTCTGTCCTTTGTTTCCTGCATCTTTTTCTCCCTCGTTATTCCCCCAGCCCGCCCTCTCTCTTCCATTCTAATCACAACTCTATGACTCTACATTCACCTCCACTGCTGATGGAAAAGAACCCAAGGTCCCCAGAACAAGGAATGTTTAAAGATGATGGATGGGACACAGAAAAGGTAAAGGGATGACTTTTCATTCAGTCACCTTCACTTGGCACAGGAGTCTTGGAAGCTGTCAAAAGGCACAAATATTGCCCTGAGACAAAATGGAAATGGAGTTCCTTCTTAGGTTAGATTTAGGTTGTGTTGTTCGTGGGTGCAAGTAATGCAAGTCTGTAGAACAACAAGCTGCAGACCATTTTCAGAATGATGTGTTGTATCTGTGGGATATTTGCAGTGTGTATTTTTTTCCTCCATTAATGCTGCTTTAAGAAATTAGAAGCTGCCATGCACTGGCTCAGACAGTTGGTCCCCTAGCCCAACGTTGTTGACACTGACTGGCAGCTGTGCTACAGAGATTCAGGGAGAAGACCTTTTTAGCCCTACCCGGAGATGCCAGGAATTAAATCTGGGACCTTTTGCTTTGCTCTACTGCTACGCTACCGCTATACATTACCTTTAAAAAAGGGACCCTCTTTCTGTATAATTCTTTGAGTGCAGTCTGCAATGTGGATGTGTGTGTTCAGAATTAATATGTGTTGTGCTATTAACTATAGTAGTTTGTCGAGCAAGAGTAAGGAACCTATGCCAATCCAGATGTTGCTGGACTCTTATCATTAATGACTTTTGGCAGTGCTGGCTGAGGCTGATGGGATTTGGCCCAACAATATCTGGCAGGCCATAGATTCACCCATCCCAGGGGAATCAAGTGCTCCACTGTAAAACTCCAGCAAGCTCCAGCTGAACTGTAATGCAAAATTAAAATCCCAGAGATGCTTGATGCAAGTAGATAATCTTACATTCCTTAATGTAGGGTACAAGCATAGGATTGCATCCTTACTATCTTCATTTTTGTTTTTAAAGAAAAGATCTTGCCAGTAGGAAAGCCACTTGGGTTCAACATTTGTGGTCTTCAATATCTGTGCTAATGAATTTGTCTGCAGTGTTGGCAAAACATTCCTGTAGCACCAGCATAATGCCATGAATGGTTAAGAGCTTCACAACACTTCTCATCTGCTGGTCCACTTTAGCGTGTCTCAGGACCAGACTTGGACTCTCTGTTTCTTTGATTATAGTTTAAGAATGACAGGCTGTTTTGTGCAAGCTACAACGTCAAGGTTTAATTTATGCTACCTGGTCCAGCACAAGTCTTAAGTACTTTTACTTAGAAGAAAGTTCAGTGAAACATATTGCAGGGGCTGTTTAGAACTTCAGTATCTTTTTGTGAGTGTAGTAGAAAGCATATTGTATCCACACTGAGTTAGAATATATTTTTCTCTTTTTAAAACCAAAAAACACATACAGAAAAAATACTGGAACAAAGAAGTCTTGGCTCCTTAGGCAGAATATTACAAATAAAATTGAAATCCAGTTGCATCATCTTATGCTAAATATTGCCCCCTCAAAGAAGCCCAGCTAACTGCCTGGGGATGGAGAACTAGCAGCTGTCTTGTTTTGCTGGCTCTCCGTAGAACTGCCCTGGATATTTTTTGGTGGTAATAGAAGAATGATGCTTGGTTTTGAACATGCAGCTCTAAACACTTGATTCTGAGGTTAATTCCTGCCACTCTTCGGATTCCAGCATGCTTTTAACCTTCCCCTACCCCACCATGCTGCACAACTCCTTTGCTCCTTTCTGGCCATGCATTTTCCCTCAAATAGAGAAATGCCTTTGGTTTCATGTCTTTACAATTTGCCTGCTTCTCTTTTACTGAGAGAGAAATTGAAATAGAGATTCTTTCCCACAACATGAGAAGTGTGGGGGGGGGGGTATATGGAGGAGTACTTATGTTTCACCAGTAAAGAGGACAAAAGATGGCATAATTTTGCATGTGTTAATTCTATGCAGACATGCCATTTTAGATATAATTATTGTAATGAAAGAATGCAGCATTGTACTGAGGGAGACTGGACCTGTCCTTTCAGTCTGCCACCCAGGTCCTAGCTATTGATGGGCAACTTCAAGGCCCCTGCTTCTGATCTTTTTTACTCCTTTAAATTGGATTTGGAGAGGAATGCCCTTCAAATACAGGACTACCCTTTGTGAAAAAGGCCACCTGGCCATCTGAAGAGGTAATGTGGCCTCAGCACAGGTCAGAAGCAACAGTGCTGGACCTGGAGACTCCATTCCAGCTGTGGTGCTATGCTTCGACTTTTCTTCCCCAACTTGGTGCCCTCCAGAGGTGTTTGACTACAGTACCCATGAGGTCCAGCCAACATGGCCAATGGTCGGGGAGGATCATCACTGTAACCCAAAACATCTGAATGGCACTGGGTTGGGGAAAATTGGGTTGGGGGTCAGCTTATAGTATTGGGAAGGACTGCAATTCAGTCATTGCTCAGCTGGGAAACTGTTGGTGTATTCCTGGGCCCGTCAAAGGTAACTTAGGCTGTTGGGAAGATTACTTGGGTTGGGGGCACAAGGGCTATGTCCCCCACCCTGAGCTTGTTAGGGAAAAGCTGGGATAAGAATATAATCAGTGAAATGAAGATATACAAATAGACATTGCTCTGTGGCAAGAGAAGTGTGAAGGGGGTGCACAAAGTGAAGATGACATTGTTTTGCATGTGTTTGCATGGAGATTTAGCACATTTCCAGGAGCACTGTGATGCTGCTGAGTTTTGTAATTAGTCAGCCTGTTGGACAATGTTTGTAATGGCCACCTTTGTAGTGAGCCTCTGTTGGTGTACTTGTTATTAACTGGAATTAATTGTGAGCTTCTCAGTGTGCAAAGCCTGTGTCTAACCAGTGCCATTTCTGTACATGCACTGAGCTGATTGGCTTAATCCTTGACTGATCAGTGCAGACCATGCACCTTGCCTTGTTGCCACTGCCATTAAAGCTCTGGCTGTGTGAGGAGGAGGCCTCCAGGTCGAGCTTCGTTGCTTCATATCCTGGGAACTGGCATGAAAATGTCGCATCCCACAGGCAGGCCACACAAAGAAACTGATGACGAACGGAATATATACTGTGGAGATGCATAACATCATGCTACACTAGGTGAGTCTACTCTAGACTTCCCAAGATGCACTTTGATATTGCACATGCACAGAATTGTGTGACTTTCCTGGGAAATAGTGATCTCACCTGGCTTATGCTTTCACACTGCCAGTTATTACCCTTAGTATGACCTTCCAGATTGCACCAGCCATAATAATGAGTCTGTAGGGCAAGGGGAGGCACTGTGATGCATACAGGCATCATTGTGTCCCTGGAGGCCTTTTTTTGGTGCTCATCAGGGTACCAATCACTGTTTTATAATTAATACATTTTAACTGGCAGCTGAGATTACTGTGAAACAGGTTTTGGCTGATGCTGAAGCCTGTGGGTTGAGCAGACTTGTTTAGTGTGTTAAAGTTCAGGCCTTACCTCTGCCTTGTACTATCTCTGGGCCAGGTTGCTTGTCCTTGGCCAAACCTCCCATGGTAGACATTTTATAATGGAGTTGAGGATAGTTTCTCAAATTGCCAAATGTAGGTAGAGAGATCACCTAAGATTGCTTTTAGGTCTCTGTGCACAAGATTGGGATCTAAACCATCACCTTGGGTAAGGCAAAGAAATTGCTGACAGTCCCTTTTGAAAAGTAGGACACTCTTTAAGTTTGAATTGTTGTATTTCAGGGATAAGGCCTGCTTAAACTTTCTCCAGGGCTACCTAGAGTGGGGAGCAGCAATTGGGACAAGTGGCCATGGGGCCACCCAACTTAGCTCCAGTGTGTGCCATAGGTCCCTGCCCTGATTCTGACACCATACTCACTGGAACCTAAAGCAGTCCTTTATACAGCACCAAAAAAGAGGATACCACTTTGCATAGTATTTTCATATGCTGAAACACATCTATAAGGATAAATGCAAATTTGGAAATATTAATTGTAATTTCAGTAAAAATACATCTGACTATAAGTGGAGAAGACCAACCAGGTGAGCTGTGTGCCATCCGGGTGACGGGCAACCTCAAGGCTCCTTCTCTCTCTTGGTATGATTCTTTGTCAACTTTCCAAAAGAAGACTGTTCTCTGTAAAATTGGAAACCTAGGCGCTCCACACAGGGCCCCACACAATCATTCAGCCTTGAAGGAGACTGCACAGACCTCATAAATCTTCTGAGTGTATCTGTCCTTTCTAAGGTGTTTCTGGAGAAGCTCACCAACTTGGGGATCAAGGGGCATGCTTCCGTGCCTTTCCCATGGCTTCATGACCTTTTACTAGCTGAACCAGTTAGAGAGGCTGAGAGGTTGGATTTCTGCTTGTCATCAAGCTTTTGAAGGCCTGTAGGAACCGCGAGCAAAAAATCTGGCACTCTTACCTGTCCTGAAAGTTCGGAAATATTTTAAATAAACAAAATAACACAGACCCATTGAGATTAATATTATGACTAACTGAGTTATTTTATTTACTTATTTATTAATTAAAAGCTTTTCTGTTCCATCCACCAGGTCTCAGGACAGTAATACAATAATAAGGAAGAGCATCAATATCAACAGCAAATAAAACCCATTTTAAAACAACATCAAATCTTAAAATATTGGGAAAATAGTAAGGTTTTTGCCTGGTGCCAAAACGAATAAAGTGTTGGTGCCAGGCACACCTCTCTAGGGAGTATTTTCCAAAGCCAGGGTGCCACCGCAAATAAGGCCCTTCTCCGGGTAGCCACTCTCCTGAT